TACACACACATATAAGCAGTATGACATTTTTGGATAATTTAAATAAGTGAGAATTTGTTAAACTTTTTATTTTTACCAGTAGTTCTTTTTTTTTTTTTTAGTTCTTTTTTTTTTAAACTAATTAATTAACAAATATTTTACACCATTATTCATTTTGTGCATGGTATGCCAAATACAGGATCAGGAAAAGGAAAACTACCCAAAATAAACAGGCAACTATAAATCAAGACAGTTTGCAGGGGGAGGAAGGCAGAGGGATCATCACAGGTAGGGGAAGAGCACATGGGACTATGGTGATGGTGCTAGGTGAATTGGCGGTGAGAATCTGACAGGGACTACACCTGAAAGCAGAAAACATTGTACACAAATGAGTTTTTCTTCTGACCACCTGAATCTCTACAAATTCCACAGATTAAAAGGAGCTGGCGTAATGTATAAAAAAAGATAAAAGTCCAAAAATTAAAAAAAAAAAGGATAAGCTACATAAACTTTCATAATGCTATAAAGTCTGTGGATTTTCAGAATTTTAGATACCTTAACATTTCTGTAGTGTTTTAGGTAGTGTTTGTAGCAAGAGGTCATGGGCAGACAGTCCACCACAATGAGCCTCACACGAAATATTTGGGTCACTGCTACTTCACTGCCTCACTATCTCCTCAAAACAATTTTTCCCTCAGTAATATAGGAGATATTGAAAGAGATAATCCCTACATTACTTTTAAATTAAAAAGGTTTATGATTTCCTCAGTTTTGGTTTATACTCTTGAATAAGAATTAGCTTCACCTCATTCATCTTTTCTCTATGGCTTCCTTTACAAAACTAGGCTCTTGAGACATGGGGGTGGGGGGGTGGGACAGGCATGAGGGAAGAACAGATATAGGAAAATATAACTAATTTTCATATAAACATCACATCCAATTAAACATCTTTTGACAGGGCAGCAAAACCTGTGCACATGAACTTTTTCAGATTTTCACTAATTATTTTTAGATCTAAGGACTTAAGTATGAAAAATGGGCTTAAAACAACTTTCAGAAAAAAAAAAGAGGTAGATGTAGCTTTATATAAATTAAGTTTAGATTTTTTAAGATTAATTCTGCACACTGTAGGCCTAAATACAATAAAAACTAATTGAAAAATACAAGAAAGCCTTGTGGAGGTTTAGGCATTCTATTCTTTGATTTATCTAATATTCCAACTATCCAAATAAAAATCATTGTGCTTTCTGAACCTCTTTATTTCTATCACCAGTACTTGCTACTCAGTGCCTTTTTAAAATTCCCCCCTGTACAGTTTCTATCACTTTACAAGAGTTACTGTCGGCTATGGAGGTTGGGTACCCTTATTAGTTGAGAAATTCACTTTTCAAATGTGTCTTACAATGAAGTAACACACTCACATGTCTGCACCTGATTTATGAGAACAATGGAAACTCATTGTGCTAAATCTATGAATGCCAAGGGATAAAACTGATTTGAAATAGAAATTTTCTTAAAATGTTAATTCTGGGACATACAATTAAAGAGGGTTGAATGAGCCAAAGCAGATGACAAGTTTCTTTGTCTGTAAGAAGTGTTCTACTAAATGCTTACTCTACATTAAGTTATAATTTCTACAGTGTAATTACATCAAGGGGAAGGTTCCTGAATGCTAACTTTAAAATAAACATCAAGTGAGGGTCAATTTTTTTTTTAAGATTTATTTATTTATTCCTACAGAACTGGGGTACAGGCCAGAGATGAGGAGGGTGAGAGGATTCACCAGGAACAGCGTGGGGAGCAGAACAGGCAGATCAAGGAGGTACACTGCTGAGGGGAGCAGCAGGCAGGTCAGGAGAGGTCTGCCACGCCATGTGGTCACCTCCGGGGCAGGCGGGAATCGAACTCATGCGGAAGTGGCTTTAGTTTCTCAGTGCTGTGCTTTAACCACTGTGCCACTAGGGAGGGCCACCTCCTGTGTAATTTTTAAAGGACATACTTCTTTACTCCCATGATGAGAGCAATTCAGTGAATTAAAGTAGCCCCCTAAAGATAGTCTAGAATAACAAGCTTTAACAGCACAACTGCAAGAGAGAGATGAGATTTGTCAGTGTCAAGGTGAGGGACAAAACAAAAATAAGGCTCTGGTCTTTGACTATTTGTGTTCCTGAATATAAAATAGCTGTATGTGTTATTTCCTTGGCAGCAAAACTTGTACCTGGAAGGCACATCTTGGAGCACTGGTTTTATGTGATAATTTTTAGCATTATTATATTAAGTGGTAACTAGATGAAGAAGGTGCTTATTCCTAGTTTGGTAACACAGAAATGAATATAAGTTGTTTTTTTTTTTTAAATGAATATAAGTTTTTATTAAATCACAACTTCACAGTGAATCAATTTTAAAGTAGCTGATTTGTACTTCAGCTCTAGCCTAAATTCAGAGCATATACTACATTTCAGTAATTACAGAATATTTGAGTCAAACCTCCAATCTGAATTTCAACCTCAAATTCACTCTAATATTCTCTCAGCAATACTGAAAGGTGACTTGTCACAGTATTTAATCAAAATGGCAAATGTCACACTTACCACATGCTGCAACTCTGGTCTGTTTTCTAATTCTTCCACTACCTTTTTAATCTGATGGAAAAAGAAATTTTTAAACAGAGTTAAGAGAACACAAACACAGCTACAAAATGATCTGATAATCATCTCTATTCTTCATGGCAATAATGGTTCCAGACAGTCAGATACAGTAACACATAGGAAAAATAAAAGACACTCACTGAAATTTTATCTTCATTGTCCAAAAGCATGTCAACAGCTTTCTGAAATAGAAGCCACAGTCAATGAAATTTGCCATAAAAGACCAGACACAGTGTTTTAAAGATGCTAACACAGTTAAAGGTAGAGGGCTCATTTTCCATCCTTAGGCTGGCTTCAAATGGCCTTTAATTGAGATATTTACAAAAGCATGCATTTTAAAATGTCTCAACGTGCTTTGCATATTACTTACATGGTGTTTTGCCACAACTCACTAAATATAGAACATCTTGACTACACAGATAGCCAACATATTTTCACATTAATCTCAATAGTTACGGAGGCCATAGTCAGTACTACATAAGTGAGCTTTTCTTTTAAAAAATATTTTATTTATTTATTTATTTAGTTTTGCATAGAAGAACTATAGGTTAGAGATGCAAGGGGTGAGAGGACTTATCAGAAACAAAGTGAGGAGCAGTGGGCGAGACCGGAGAGGTGGGTCAGCTCCCTGACCAGGGATGGAACTTGGGGCACAGCAGTGGCAGCAGTGAGACTTAACTCCTAGGCTACCAGGAGGCCCCTAAAATGAACTTTTCTTTTTTTTCTCAAGTACCTCTTTTATTTCTGTAAAACAGGACATTATAAAACATCATATAATGAGTATATAAAACTATAAATTATTTCCTGCCACCTGCTTTACCTTCCCAGAGTCCCAAAGGCTCAATATTTTCTTATAGTTCCTCCAAGGTAATTTCTGTGCATGCATAAATAAAACCTTAGTTTTCTTAAGATTAGAAACTTTCCATTAAACAGACATAATGAATAAAATTAATTTATATTTTATATATTCAGCATACTATTCTTAGTGTCTTGTTTACTAAAAATTTGTTTTAAAAATCATTTTCTTTACACACACATATAAGCAGTATGACATTTTTGGATAATTTAAATAAGTGAGAATTTGTTAAACTTTTTATTTTTACCAGTAGTTTTTTTTTTTTTTT